CAAAAAAAGTTGATCCACATTCCCAGTTTAAAATTACCAGGCAATGCAGCTCTACATGATTGTGAAAATATGCCCATTGGCAAAAACAACAGTGCTTATCTTTTTTTAAAAGTTTTCATCAATTACCAGTAATATTTTTTAGTTTAATACATGTTGACTTTTTGGGGACCATACCCAGTTAATTTTTACCTCCAGTGCACTTTATTTTTTAACTATAATTGATGATTTCTCAAGAGTCACTTTGACTTATTTATTAAAAGAGAAAACGAGTGAACCAAATATCTTGAAATATTTTTATAATCTAATACAAAATCAATGTCAGAAAACAATCAAAATAATTAGGACAGACAACGACACTGAGTTCATAAACGCTTCATGCAAAATTAGTTTTCAAGAAAAGGGAATCATGCATCAAAAAACCTGTACATACACACCACAGCAGAATGGGGTGGTGAAGAGAAAACATAAGCACCTATTACAAATTGCTAGGGCATTGATGTTTGAATCAAAACTACCCAAAAGTTTTTGGGATGAAGCCATACTCACAGGCACACACATAATAAACGTTTTGTCAAGCTCTGTTTTAAAATGAAAAACTCCTTATGAAATTCTGTACAAAAAATAGCCGGATTATTCAAACCTAAAAACCTTCGGTTGTCTATGTTTTGCTACAAATGTCATCCCTTAAAAAGACAAGTTTGAACCTAGGGCTTTGAAATGTGTTTTCTTAGAGTATGCACCCGATGCAAAGGCTTATAAATTATATGATATACTAAATAGAAAAACGGTTTTGTCAAGGGATGTCATATTTCATGAACATATTTTTCTATACGAAACAGAACATCCTAAAGCAGATTACCATGACACACCACTGCCAATACCAAGGGACGACACAATAAACACACCCGAAAACCGGCCACAAAGAAGAGAAGAAATTCTCTTACCAACCATCATTCCCCAAGAGTCTGAAGTAAGAAGGAGCATCAGGGTGAGAAATAAGCCCGCCTGGATGGAAGACTTTGTCGCCTATACCACTGAACAACCCATGTATGAGCTTCCCTTCTTCATGTCTACCTCACCTACATACAACCATAGCTATGTTAATTTTATTGCACAAGTGTCTATTACTAAAGAACCAATTTCATACAGGGATGCTAAAGGGGACAACAAGTGGGTTGAGACCATGTAAGTCGAACTGTTCGCATTAAAAGAAAATAGAACATGGGAACTAACTGCACTACCAAAAAGGAAGAAAGTAATCGACTCAAAATGGGTGTACAAAATAAAATACAATGCCGATGGATCAGTTGATAAATACAAAGCAAGACTCGTAGCTAAAAGTTACAACAAGGAGTTTGACATAAACTATCATGATAGCTTCTCACTAGTGGCCAAAATGGTCACGGTTCGACTACTTTTAGCCATGGCAGCCGCAAGCGACTAGCCAGTATACCAGTTAGACATCAATAATGCATATCTACATGGGTTTGTGGAAAAGAAACTATATTTAAAACCTCCAGAGGGCTACTTCAAGGCTAGTACAAGACAAGTCTGCCATCTAACCAAAAACTTGTATGGCCTAAAATAAGCAGGTCGCCAGTTGAATAAGGAGCCCACCTCAAAGCTCCCATCCTATCGGCGTCACCAAGTCAGAAGCTGACCACTATCTATTCACAAAAGGAACAAAAGGAAACTACGTTACAGTTGTGTATAAAATTTGGATGACTTACTTGGTC